ACTAAACAAATTAGACATGTTTAAATTTCATTTTATATTCCTTCTATATAATACCACCCTACATTTCTTTGAATTCTTATTTTAGCTGAGTTTTTCCTAATTCTAATGATCTCAAATGGCCTGTACTTATCTATAGGCATATTTTCTCAATAAATTTACAGTTATGGCAAGACAAATCTATCTCATTTCTTGTATTTTTGTAGATGCACCGAGAAGGCAAACCCTTTTCGGTCATTTACACTCAGTTTTACTTCTATTTACTTGCAGCGGTGATAACTCAGAGTCTCATGTAAGTGTTAGCACGCCATACTTACTTGAGATCTAAGCTACTTATAATAAATAGCCTACTGCATAAAAAGCAGTACATAGTAGGTCATTAGGGGTTTATAAAAGCACGAATAAGCTATGAAAGCGAGGTAAGATCGACCACGATTGAATCAAGGGTCATAACCACTTTGACTTCGTGTCTATAGCATCAGCTCTACTTTATGCTTATTTATTTTATCAATTTATTTTAAATTTTTAAAGGAGCACAAGGATTCTCATCCTTTTGAAAATCAACAGGACGATTCAAGCATTGACAAAGAGGATTCATTTTCCGAATCTGATTCTGATTGCAACGATCGCGACAGATCCAATTTAGATGATATGATTGAAGCGGAAGAAGAGGAAGATGCTTTTGTTGATTCGCTTGCGCGATTGGATGCCCCTCATTCTAATCATTTCGATTCAGATAATCCGGATGATGGCTTCAACAACGCTATCTCCACTCACCTCGTTTCTTTAAAGGGACACGAACACCATAGTAATGGTACTGGATGCGCAGTTTGTGCCGGTGTTGGACTACTTTCAATTTGCATTGCTTGTAAACGAGCATATCACTTAGGCTGTCACCAACCACGACTTGATCGTAACCACTGGTACGATGTGAAATCTAACGAAGTGGGTGCAAGGTTTGCTGACTGGAGATCTGATTCACTTAATGTAAGCTAAATTTCTATGTTTACACTAACTTCGCTCTTATCATATATTTTCTAATTCTTAGAGGCGAAGTATGAACATCTCTAATCGGATGTGAAGGAGTTTAAGAGTCAAACTTTCTTTGAAAGTTTAAGCTCTCTAGTCACTAGCTATAATAATATTTCTCAGGAACAAGCTCCGTCATATAATATAATCCACATATGCAATTACACGTTCTCAACTTAGGCCTACTTAAAAAAGAGGCAATACAAACTTGTCAGATTTAACGAAAACATGCCTTATTATAAGAGCTGTACTCATCATAGGCGATTAAGGACTGATAAATGAATGTCCCTATCATGATATAAGTAGGCCAGCGGATTTCGCTTAGTCTCGCTCATTTACAATACACAAAAAGTAGACAAATTCCACTATGCCTTATATTACTATTCATTTGGTTTTAAAATTTATTATATTAAATACAGAATACTGTGGGATAGGTTTTTTATTCACTTGAGCGAATTTCCTAAATTAGCCTAACTGGTTCTATTGCAGACGATATTTATTCCCTTGTTCTTAGTGTGATTTTAGGGTGTGTTAGTTAATTGCTGATAAAATATTTTCGCTCTATTGTTTCTTCCTGTTCTCTATCACTCATTTACCCTCTTTAGGTCTGAAATCGAAGGCTATTATCTTTGGGTGAAGTAACCTATAATATTTCATTCTGTTTTATGCCGAATGTATCTTGTTAATATTCAGACTTCTTTTGCGATTTTCCTCTATCCTGTACTGCATAGTTTTGTG